GGTGTGAGCCACTCACACCCAGATCCCTTTCTTCTTTACCCATGCCTTCTTGGTTTAAACCTGACCCTTGCACAGGGATTTATTTAACTTACTACATAGTTCTCCAAAGTAGTGACTATCTTCTCATCCCTCCCTCATTATGCCTCACTGCCATTTTCAGTACATTTGTTCTTAAACGCTCTTACTGTTTATTTAGATTTTAGAAAATTTATAGCAGAAAAAAATGCTTTCATGTTTTCAGGCTCTTGAAAACACAACAAAGCTCTCCAATAACTGAATCCAGTATCTGTTTTTAAGTTCCAATTAATTAAAGTTCACATTAGCAGGACTAATGTAGCTCCATAGTAGAACACTTGTACAAGTCCCTAGGTTTGATCCTTGGCACCACAGAAAATAAAATAAAAATATCATTGTTGGCCAGGTGTCAGTGGCTCACACCTATAATTCTAGCTACTCAGGAAGCTGAAATCTGAGGATCATGGTTCAAAGCCAGCCCGGGCAGGAAAGTTTATGAAACTCATATCTGCAATAAACCACCAGAAAACCGAAAGTGGCGCTGTGGCTCAAGTTGTAGAGCACTAGCCGTGAGCTAAAGAGCTCAGGGACAGCATCCAGGCCCAAAGTTCAAGCTTCACAACCAACAACAACAACAAAAATCATTGCAATTGTATTCCTCTATTTCCCTTGTCACATTTAAGTGTGGCTCTCTTGGGCAGGATAGATTCAGAGACTTGGTAAAATTCAAGTTTAATTTTGCAAAGGTATATTGTATGCCTTATGTTATCTAGCTACATTTTTTTTTTTTTTTTGGTCTGTCGTGGGGCTTGAACTCTGGGTTTGGGTGTTCTTCAGCTCAAGGCGAGTGCTCTACCGTTTGAGCTACAGCTCCACTTCGGGTTTTCTAGTGGTTTATTGGAGATAAACTTTCCTGCCCAGGCTGGCTTTGAACCGTGATCCTCAGATCTCAGCCTCCTGAGTGGCTAGGATTGCAGGCATGAGCCACCGGCACCCGGCATCTAGCTACATTTCTATCTTTACGTGGAGTCTAAATAAAAACAACTTTACAGCCTTCTGGCTCCTCAGGTTCTTGAATGCTTCTTTTCTTTCACCTTTTCTAACCAGTGTGTACATATAGTTCTAGTCTTGTCAGCACCTAAGCCATCCACAACCTTATTAGCATCTATTAGTTGTACAAAACAGGTTCCATTGTGACATTTCCACACATGCATACAGTGTATTTCCAATCAGCCTTATCCCTTCTATCACTCTTCCCCTCCTGCTTCCCCCTTCCCAAAGCAATTTCAAGAAATTTCATCGTTCTGTTTTCATACATGTACACAAACCACTTCAACCATGTTCTTCCTCTTTCATCTCCTTCCTCATCCTCCCCTTCCCAGCAGCACCCACCAGCACTCAGTGGAACCTGCCTCACTTTGCTATTGTTCTTTTTGTCATTTTTTATAATGTCTTATGAAGTACACCAAGAGGCTTCACTTTGCAAAGAAAACAAAGGAGTTGTCTTTGATAACTTCAATTCTTCTGTCTGTGTATATCAATATTTTTGTTGAAGTACAAAAAATGTCCCAGGTAATTCATGTACAGCCTAGTGAATAAGCACAGTGTCTATGCACTACTTTGCTAGCACCTTCTGCCAACAGTAATTAACCATTTTTTCTGTTTTGCTGTCTGGTAAGTTGGATTATATCGGAGTCACTTTTTGTGGGAATCCTAGGTCTCTTAGTTTTTTGTAACCCACGTTACTGCATGTGAGTGTAATATTTTTATTAAAATACCATTGTAAACAATATGTCAATAGGTATTTAGTTATTTACAGGTTTTGCCTGTAGTATTCTGAAGCTTTTGGTGTATGAATTTAAGTCATGTATAAAATGCTTCTGCCACATACTGAGGTTGTGGTATGTTTGTGCTCACCAGTAGTAGACTGCCTATGGTTAAAGTACTTTGATGAATTTACACTCACTAGCAGAGGGGATCAATACTTCTCTACTACCACACACTGGCATTCTTTAAGTTTGTTCATTTGGGGTTGTAATGGTATATTTCATGGAGATACCTGTTTGCTGATGGTAGAGAGGTTGATCTTGATTTTTGTTTGTTTTTTTCTTTAGGAAAAATATTAATATATATCGATCTTTCAACTTGAATAAGTAGCTTATGAGCTCATAGACAATTTTTTTATGTATATGTCTGGCCTCCATCTTCTACCATGTAATTTTGAAACAAACCATGGCCATCATGTTATTTTATTTGTGTTTATGTTAGCACATGTCTATTGAAAAATAAATACTTACATTTTAAAAACTACTTACTGTCAAATAATCTGTCATTCAATTTGATATGGTCTCAAATATCACAAATTTTCTTTTGTTTTCTATTAAAGTATTTTTTAGTGATCCTAATGTTTAATTAAGAATCCATGAAAACAGATATACTCTTCTACAGCTTACTGCTTGGTGTTTCTCACTGAAAGACATAGGATTTGAGTTCATTTTGGTTTTTACATTCTGTGGATTGATAGGATTTGAATTCACTTTGGTTTTTACATTCTGTGGATTGAACCCAGGAGCTTACACTGTAGGCAAGCATTCTGCTGCTAAGTTACACCCCAACCCTGAATCAAGGTGATGGATGGATAGATAGATAGATAGATTTGCCAGATCAAAACTTAGAAAAACTGGTTAGTTACAAAGTAGTGAATAGACATTAGGCTATATATTATTCTGAAATATATATGTATATACACTAATATAACTCAACACATTTTTTCTTTATTTTTTCCCCTTCTTATAACACTTGTCTTAAACCCAGGCTTCATGTATGCTAGACCAGGGCTCCACTGAGCTATGTCACCAGCCCTTCCTAAAATGATTTTAATATATAGGTTTCCTCCTTTTTTGGAGAGGGTTCTTTAGAATTCATGCTTGCGAGACAAGTGCTCTATCACTGTACCACACTTCCAGGCCTTTTTTGCACTGGATTTTAAGTATAAGCTAGAAACTTTGTAGTGCTTGGCTAGAAAGTTGGTGTTTTGTCCCTAACTCTCTGAATTTCATCAGAGGCCATCACCATTTTATGAGTTTCCTAGGGCTGTTATAAGAAATTGCTACAAATTTGGTAGTCTGAAAGAACAGAAGTGAATTATCATACAGTTCTGATGACTACAAGTCTAAAGTCAAGGTGCTGACAAGGTTGGTTCCTTCTGAAGGTTCTCAGGAAGAATCTTCATCCCTCTCGTAGCTGTTGGTGGTTTCTGGCAGTTTGTTGCAGTTCTAGGCTAGTGATCACATCACTGCCATCTCTGCCTCTGTATTCATATGACCTTCCCCTTATCTCAGCTCTTCCTCTCCTGTCTCAGGAACAAGTTACTGGATTTAGGAGAGACCCTAAATCTGGAATGATCGTTTCTCAAGATCCTTAATTGAGATACACTTGCAAAGACCCTGTTTTCAAGTAAGGTCACATTCACAGGTAGAAGTATTAGGGCTTGAATACACAGTATCTTTACAGGGACATCACAGTGCAGTTTTATTTGTTCTAAACTTTGCATTTTTTAAATAAGTTGTTACTTGAGTCTAAAGGTGATTAGCTTGCCTTCCCTCTCTTCCTTCCTTCTCCCTCCCCATTTCTGCCTCCTTTTTTTCTTCTTTAGGATGTCTGATGGTTACCTTTTTTGAGATGTTAGTATCCCAATAATTAGGCACAGGAAAGTCATTTTCTTTCAAACCCATTTGTGTATGCTACGTATTCTCACCACTGTACTCATTCTAAACATATAAAGATCACCTGTGCTGGGTGCTGGTAGCTCACACCTGTAAACATAGCTCTTCAGTACTAAAAGCAGAAGGATCATGGTTAGAGACCAGGCAGAAGAAGTTATAATACCTATGTTGACATTAATCTGTTAAGAACATCTTAATAGACACTATGTTGAAAATGAACTGTACAACTTGTGGGTGGCTATGGGAGGGAAAAACTGGGAGAGAGCAAGGTAAGGAGTGATATTGGCCAAAAAGAAATGTACTTTTTACCTGACTTATGTAACTTCAACCCCTCTATCACCTTTATAATAATGATTTTTTAAAATGTTTAAAACCATCTTGAAATGTGACTCAAATGGTAGAGGCACTAGCCTAGGACCCTAGTACCATCAGAAAAAAAGAGATCACTGGTAATATCTACATTGCTTAATCTAGAGATATATTCCTATTCAGAACCTCATTGTGGCCTCTACTGAACAATCCAGGGGTAGTTTTTCATTTGTTTGTTTTGTCAGTATGGAATTTGACTCAAGGCCTGGGCACTGCCCCTAAGCTTTTTCACTCAAGGCCTAGTGCTCTACCACTTTGAGCCACAGCACCACTTCCAGTTTTCTGGTGGTTATTTGAAGATGAGTCACATGAACTTTCCTGCCTGGGTTGGCTTTAAACTTTGATCCTCTGATCTCAGCCTCCTGAATAGCTAGGATTTGGGGTTTTGTTGTTTGTTTGTTGTTGTTGTTGTTGTTTTGCCTAATTCCCACGAATTTAGATCTGAATCAATACATTGACATATTTAATACAGGTGTTGATCTTAATAGAAAGCAGATACAGAATGCTAAAAGAAGCAGCTGAGTCACTGGTTGCTTCCTAGAGAAAGATGACAGGAATTGAGTAGGGGTGGGGAAGGGGGAATTGAGTACGGGTGGAGAAGGGACGTGGTACATTTTGTTGAAAACAATTTAAGTCAAACATGGTGGTGCCTTCTGTAACCCCAGCATTTGGGAGACTGAGGTAGGAAGATCAAGAGTGCTAGGCCACCCTAGCTACACAGTGAAAGCTTATCCTTAAAAAATGTTTTTTGAAAAAATCCATTTAAATAGTATCTAATCAGTGTAGTACATTTATTTGCTATGAGTATGCCTGGCAATGTGTTTATTATATTTAGTATCTTTTATGGCTTGCTGGCTGCTGTATTCTGAGTTTGTCTCTTGTCTCTTTCAGAATGGCAGTTCGGAAAACTCTCATTCCTCCTCAGCCTCCTGAAGTGGCTAGTCCTCGAGTAGAGAGTGCCATGCGGAGCACATCAGGCTCTCCCAGGCCTGCAGGGTGAGCACACAAATGTTGTTACCACTGTCACTTTCAGTTACACATCACTGGGCATAGAAGAATCTTTTAACTGGCTAGTTTCACATCATTTCCTCATGTGTGTGTGTGTGTGTGTGTGTGTGTGTGTGTGTGTGTGTGTGTGAACTTGAACTCAGAGCCTGGAAACTGTCCCTGAGCTTTTTGCTCAAGTCTAGCACTCTACCACTTGAGCCACAGGTCCACTTTTGGCATTTTGGTGGTTAATTGGAGATGAGAGTCATACCATGGTCCTGCCCCAGGTTAGCTTTGAACCTACTATCCTTAAATTGCAGCTTCCAGAGCAAAGTTTTTCTTAACCAGGTGTCAGCAACTCACACCTTAAGTTCTAGCTGCTCAGGAGGTTGAGATCTGAGGATGTGACTAGGCAGGGAAGCCTATGAGACTGATTTCTCAGGATCTGACTAGGCAGGAAAGCCCATGAGACTGATTTCTCAGGATCTGACTAGGCAGGAAATCCCAGGAGACTCTGATTTCTAATTAACCACAAATACACATACACACACACACACACCTGGACATGGAAGTACAGCTCAAATGATAAAGTGCGCTAGCCTTGAGCAAAAAAGTTCAAGGCTAGCACAAGGGGAAAAAGGGGTTTTCATTCTTTTCCTTGTAACTACCATTTTCTTTCAGTGTTTCAGTTAACTTCAACACTTTGATGTTGGATGATTATAATTATTTTTATTATTTTCTTCAATCCAAAATAGCACTAAACTATCCATTTCTTCCATAAATGATTTTTTTTGTTCTTAATGCAATTTAAAATGGTAGCATTAAATTGACTCAGCCTTTTTTATTCATTGGACTTTCTTTATGGTTCGTTCCATACTTTGCCAGAAGTCTAGATCTTGTCTTTTCTTAACTTAGCTGGGGGCGTTGTGCCCATCCTAGAACTTGAACTCAGGGCCTGGATGCTGCCTCTCAGCTTTTATGCTTAAGGCTAGCACTCTACCACTTGAGCCACAGTTCCACTTCCAGCTTTTTTTGGTGCTTAATTGGAGATCAGTCTCAGACTTTTCTGCCTGGGTGGCTTTGAACAACATGCTTCAAACCATGGTCCTCAGATCCCAGCCTCTGAGTAGCTAGGATTATAAGTGTAAGCCACTGGCACTCAGCTTTTCTGAGGCATTTTCAAATCTAATTACACTTCCAGTATTTTATTTAGGTTGATAGTGGTGATGATTTGTTTTTTATTTTCATCTTTCGGTCAGTTCTGTTCTTCAGTCTTCCATGTTTGTCACTTGGATATATCTTTGGGAAACCAATATAGCCAAGCTGTATACTTTGCAGCCTTCGTGGTGGTGATACAAAAAATCACTGATCATGACTCTCATCTGTTCATTTCATAGTGACTTGAGAACTATAGAATTATCAATGTGTACTCTTTGTGCAGTTGTAGTTCAGTACACTACTGGCTTAAATTTTGGGCAGTGTTGTAATGTAGTTAAACATACATATGAGAAATCACATGTGGATTATATGAAAAGTAAGGACTGCCTCTTTATTAGGAATATAGAAGGAGCACAGAGGAAGACCAGTCAAGAGCAAGGGAGAGTGGTATGTGTGTGTGTTTGTATGTGTGTGTATGAAGGTATTGGGGTATTGATTTGCATACTTGTCATCTGCACCAATAACTCTACCTTGCATCAATACTATGAATTGAACCCAAAGTTTTATGCATTGTTAGGCAGGAACTGCACTACTTAGCTACGATCTCTGGCCTTTTTTTTTCCCCCAGTCGTGGGGCTCGAACCAGGTTGTGGGGCCCTGGGCGCTGTCCCTCAGCTCTTCAGCTCAAGGCTACTGCGTTACCACTTGAGCAACAATGCTACTTCAGGTTTTCTGGTGGTTTATTGGAGATAAGGAAAGTCCTGCCTGGGTTGGCCTTGAACCGTAATCCTCAGATTTCAGTCTCCTGAGTAGCTAGGATTACAGGCGTAAGCCACTGGTGCACAGCCTCTGACCCTTTCTTGTTTTGAGACAAAGTCTCACTAAATTGCCCAGGCTGACCTAGGACTTGTTAACTTGCTATCCTGCAAAATGTCTGGGATTTACAGACATGTGCCATCATGCCCAGCTCTGAGTACTCTTTAGTTTGTGTTCATTAGTTGTATTTTTTTGTCTCCTTTCTCTTTGGTGTTTTTTTAGGTTTGCTTTTTTTGTTATTTGATTTGTGCATTCTTTTGTTTTTATTTATTTTGTTGTGTTTTTTTAGACCAGGTATGTAGCCCAGTATGCCCTTAAAATCATTCATTATCTTCCTGCCTCAGCCTCACTAATGCTGGGATTACAGGTGTGTATCATGATGCCCAGATTTCTTTTTTTTTTTTTAGTCCAGTCGAGGGGCCTGAACTCTGGGCCTGGGCGCTGTCCCTCAGCTCTTCAGCTCAAGGCTAGCGCTCTACCACTTGAGCCACAGCACCACTTCTGGCTTTTTTTCTTTTTGCTTATGTGGTGCTAAGGAATCGAACCCAGGGCCTCAGGCATGCAAGGCAAGCACTCTACAACTGAGCCACCTTCCCAGCCCTGCCCAGCTTTCTTTTGCCCATTTTAATAGGATTACAAGCTTTTCTTAGTGTTGAATTTTCAGGGCTCTTTACACACACACTTTTTTTTTTTTTAGTTTTTTTTTGCCGGTTTCAGGACTCAAACTCAGGGTCTGGGCACTGTCCCTGCACATCTTTGTGCTCAAGGCTAGCACTCTACAACTTGAGCCACAATACCACTTTTTACTTTCTGAGTAGTGTATTGGAGATAAGTCTCACAGACTTCCTTGTCCAGACTGGCTTTGAACCACAATCCTCAGATCTCAGACTGAGTCGCTAGGATTACAGGCATGAGCCACTAGCACTCAGCTTCTTTGTATATTCCTACTGTAATCCCTTAGTCAGATATGTTTCCAAGTTTTTTTTAAAGTAGCTGAGCCATTTAAGTGCAAAGCTGAGTAGTACTATTGCACAGTATTACTTGCAGTATTGTGCTTAATGCTGGGAAATGCTGCTGCTCCAAAGCAGATCTTCAGATCCTTCTCATTGTCCCACATGCATATTCTACCCATGAAAAACCACTTCTCTTCCTTCTGTCCCTAATTCCTGGCCGCCATAGTTCAACTGTTCCTTTTATGAATTGGACTACATATGCTTAAAATCAAATAGTATTTGGAAGTGGTGCTGTGGCTCAAGTGGTAGAGCACTTGCCTTGAGCTGAAGAGCTGAGGGACAGCACCCTGGCCCAGAGTTCAAGCCCCACGACTGACCCAAAAAAAAAAAGTGATACTAAAATCAAATAGTATTTATCCCTTTGTCTACGACATCCTTTATCTTGTCAGATATTGTAAATATTTCCTTCTAACCTATTCCTGGTTTTTTTTTTTTCAGTTTCTTAAAAAAATTGTTTTTTATTGTAAAGATACTGTATGGGGTGAGGCGGGGAGGGTAAGAGTTAGATCAGTAAAGTAATGAATACATTTTTTTCAGCCTATTACAATGGTCTTTAGCAAAGCAAAAGTTTTTAATTGTGCTGAAGCTCAATTCATCAATATCCCCCCCCCCCCAACACACACACACACACACACACACCCATACACGGCTTTGGAACTGCATCTTCAGGCTTTTCATTTAATCATAGGTTTTCTTTGTTGAGATGGAGTCTTGTGAACTTATTGCCTGCATTGGCCTCAAACTATGATCCTCACAATCTGCTTCCTGAATAGCTGTGATTGTAGGTGTGCATCATCACACATACAAAGATATGATTTGTTTTTGTTTTAGGGGGTAGAGTTCGTTTTTTGTTGTTTTTGGTAGTACTAGATGGAGTTTGAACTCAGGACCTTATGCTTGTTTGGCTGGTTTCCTACCACTTGCCATATTTCTTACCCTTTCTGCTGATTATTTTAGAGATGGAATCAATCTAGTTGACTTTTCTGCCCAGACTGGCTTCAAAACTGAGACCCAGCCTGGCACTGGTGGTTCATGCCTGTAATCGTAGTTGAGATCTGAGGATCATGTTTCAAGCTGGCCCAAGCAGGAAAGTCCATGAGACTCTTTATCTCCAACAACTAGAAAACAAGAAGTGGCTTTGTGGCTCAAATGGTGGAGTGCTAGTCTTGAGCTAAAGAGCTTAGGGACAGCGCCCAACCCAGAGTTCAAACCCCACAACTGACCAAAATACAAACAAACAAAAACTACAAAATAAAAATATAGCTATAGTTTAAAAAAATTAATTCTACACAGCTCACTCTCAGCTTTTTTATGGTTAATTGGAAATAGCAATCTCAGACTTTTTGGCCTGGGCTGGCTTCATACTGCAATCTCAGATCTCAGCCTACCATGTAAATAGGATTACAGGTATGAGCCACTGGCACTTGGCACCCTGTAACTTCCTAAGATTAAAAAAAAAAGATATTGGCAAGGAAATGAGCACTATCATCATTTGTTGCTGGTGGGAATAGTGCTTCCATGGGAAAAGAATTTGGCCATTCCTTAAAAATTAAACATAACTATCATGTAACACAGGAACTCCACTCCTGCTATCTACCTAAGAGAAATTGTTTAAGTTGCAAATAACCTAATGTCTGCCAACAGATGAATGAACTGATAGTGATGCTAATATTAGTATTCCATCCACTACATAGAATATTATTCAGCCATTAAAAGGAATGAAGTACTAATACATGCCACAACTTAGACGAATCTCATAAACATACTAAGTGAAAGAAATCAGATACAAAAGATCATATATTTCACAGTTCCTTTCATATAAAGTCTACAGAAAGAGACAAGTAGACAGGAAGCCAATTAGAAGTAGCCAGGGAATGAGGGAAACAAGGTGGGTGGTATCTATCTGTAAGCTGGTGTTGGTGGCTCACGCCTGTAATCCTAACTACTCAGGAGGCAAGATCTGAAGATCATGGTTCAAAGCTATCCCTGGCAGGAAAGTCCATGAGACTCTTATCTCCAATA